GTATAATCCTTTGCAAGGCCCTCGAAGGTGTCTGTTTGTATTGTGTTGTAGGGTCAGGATGCTAACCCTTGGCGTACATCCATCTTCCATCCATCATGATGTTGCTCTACCTGCAGTCACTGATAGAGGATATTTAGAATTATTTTAGATATCGGAATAAACCATGTCCGGTGTGATATAAATATGCGCATGGGTTTCGATCTCCGTAAATCAAATATTATGTGAAGTATTATAATGAGCTGGTGAAAAAACGAAAGATCAACGAACCTCCAGGACCTGTCCACCTGTTACACCTGAATTTATAAGCATATTAGCCCTGGTGTACATATGTGTACCCCCGGGCTAATTTGCCCACGGATAATATTGTAGATTTGGGGAGGTCGAGGCAAAAAAATCAATAAAAATCAATACAACTAAGATAGCAAAACGTTCGTTACTTTTACTAGGACACTTTGTAGTCTCAAGGCCGTGGGAGTCTCTCCTCAATCTGTCACTTGCCGTCACCCTCCTCCGCTTACCGACAACATCACCTCCCGTCGTCACGGCGCTGCCCTTCGGCAACGTTCCTGCGCGCCATACTGCTGCACTCGTCGTCAGTGACGACGAGCTCGCGCCTCGCCTTCCTGGCGTCTCCAGAATGGCGCGCTCAGCGCATGTCGTTTTGCTTGTACACTCTATTGGATTCGCAATGACCTGTTGCTTTATCTCTGTGGTTGGATGACTTCCCATTGCAACAAGCATGGGTGGAAGTTTTAGGTGTATTTTGATGCATCGACAACCATCTCTCACACTTAAAACATCATTCATATTCCATACAGTCTGTATGGTAAACCTTTATGCAACATATCACTGCCAGACAACTGAATCTCAGCCAGCCACAGTGTTGCTTTAGCACTTGTGATCAAACACTACAGTGATTCTCTTTCAAGTATCACGACAGTGCCAAGACCACCACCAGCATCATGGACCATCTCCCACACATCTCTACAGCCTTTCATTCTACAGCCTGTTAGCCTGCCACCTTTAAGTCTCTGCATAATACTGCTGCTACAAATACTGCTGCCTGGTAGGACCTTCTGCAATTACACAGCCATCAGCCCCACTTTCTTTTGCTCACACACTTGCTGATTTTTTTTGCAATTTGTAGAAACATTGCTGGTAAAAGAATGGGGAGGCTGATGCTGGATAATCATGGTTCTGAACAGCATCTGCAAGTCTTTGTGGATGCAATTAACCATGGCAGAAAGAGAAATGATAAGGGAGGCATGGAACTAGATTTGAGTGCAGATTTAGGTTCGAGAGAGAGGTTGGGTGGATGTATTGGCTTCCTGGTAAGTCTTGCCCAGCCATATACCATCATATCACAAACTGCCTGTATGTATTCCTCCTGTTTCACTTTCCACTCATTTTTTAGTAGATGACCCCATTTGCACAGTTTACTAGAGTCAGGAAGGCTTAAGGCTTCCAGTAGAATGTGAAGTTGATAAATAGAACACACCCTACATGCACCAGTTATTGGTTTACCAGAATACCCGCCGGACTCTGGACATCAGACCTGTCCATGCTCAACCTTCGTTACTTCATGTATCAGTCACCAGAATACCTGCCAGGACCCACACCTGTCTATCTCCAACCCTGTCCCACATACCAGTCACTGGATTCCTCTTGGAAAACCTGACAGCTCTCTAACTGAGCCCCATTCCCATTATGGTCAAATGACCTGTCACATTTTGGACTCCGCTCCCACCCCGTTCCCATTATGGTCTAATGACCTGTCACATTTTGGACTCTGCTCCGCTCCATTTCACTCATATAGGAGGCTGTGGGGGCCAGTAACTTGGAGGTTGGAGGGGCCACAGAAAGGCTGGGTGTCCTTGAAGAGGTTCTAAGGCAGATAGCAGGAGGGATAGATGCCCAAAATGTGCTGCTGGAGAAAGGAAACTGGGTCCATAAGGTGATTGTGGAGAATCTCTGGGAGCTCCATGGGGAATTCCAGAAGTTCCTGGACAACTATTAATGGGTTATCCAGGAGGCAGATGAAGATTACAAACAGTTCAAGCTCTTTGAGGAGATCTGTAGGTACTTTCTTCATGCCCATGCAAAGAAAGTGGCCATGATCCCGTTTAACTGCAAAAAGGAAGCCTTCTACATATGCCAGTATGCTGATTTAATGCATTAAGCTATGAAAGTGTTTTATGCTTTTATATACATGTGATTTTGAAATGTCTGATGTACATACCTCTTTGCCAATGCTTTCCAACTTGAAGGTTGCCTGGGCATCTTGAGCTTTGAATCTCACACTTGTTAGAATTCCACTTTACTTTGATGCCTGTACTTCTTCTGCCTTTGACCTAAGAAAGGCTTTCATGTCTTCAGGAAGCTGCTTCACTTGTTCCGCTCCACCAAGCTTATTCAGGCTAGCCTGGATCTCTTCATACTTTGTCTTTGGCTGTGGATAGTAGTTCCGAGTGTGTAATCTCTCACAACTCTAGTCCAATCTATTAAATGTGACAACAGAGGCACAAGTATATGAACAGATTTGAAACTTGAGAATGTTAAATAATGTGATACATTGGAGAAATGTGTCAATCCTTACACCATCAACAACTACTACAGCAGTCCCAAGAATACCCAAAAATATAAAAACCATTTTGTTGCAGCTGTACAGAGCATATGTTCTTAGAACCAAAATTGCTTTACCATTGTTAATAACAATAAGTTTGACAGAAATTACTTCAAATGAGAAAATTACCTGTCACTGTGGCTTGCCACAACCCTAAAACAGCCATGCTTTGATAGGTGAAGTCACATCTGAAAAACAACTGTGGGTGAACAAAAATATTATTGTTGTAACTTGAAATTCTACCAACTGCAAGTTGTGAGCCTAAATAAATTTCCTTGGTGGTGTAAGATAGAATGATACCTTGGGAGTAGCAGAAGTTGCTACCTGGAAGAGAAGCTCTCCAAGTGGGAGATAACAAGCCATAAAATAAAGAATGGTTGAAATTGGGACTTTTCTCTGCCATATCAAGTCAAATTCCAACCTGAAGGTAAGGGTGTAGTCATAGCAGAACATCGTTGCAAACATCAGAAACCTTTTTATGATTGGTTGTACAGCTTCATACCTAACACTCCAACTTGTATATAGTAATACAGCTGACTTAGACATAGGGAAGAAGTAACGTTATCAGTTCTAGCTCAATTTTCCTTTACATGCGTACTCACATCCACATTTCTTCTTCAATGAGGGTTAGATGTGCCGTTTTGGACATAGCTCAGGCCATCAGACCGTCAAAGACTCGTGGTGGGCTTGTAGAGGCCTGTACAAATTTTGCAAAGATTGTTTCCACTGATAGGTCATTGTAAAGCCTTGCTAGCCAAACTGCTACTATTCCTGGCATGTGTTACGACCGTGTCACAACCCTATCGGTCCCCGAGGTTATTGCCACTTATCAACGATTCAAGTTACTATTTAAGTCACCACATCGGAAACCATCGGCCCCCGAAGCTGACGTATGCTTTCACCATGATCAAACTCCGTTTACGCCCACGTCAAATATACTCGTATTGTCTGGTTAAACTTTTGATATGTTCCTTTTATTATGTTGATCCGCTCTATCCTATGTTTCACATATGTCTATCTATATTTGTAGTCCTCGAACTATTTCCTTTTACCGTAATTCCGCCCTCAGTTATCATCGGCCTCCGAACTAATCATAAACTTCCCATTCCTAGTCAAGCTTATTGTTAATACCGTTTTCCGCCCTTCTCCCTGTTAGTATTTTCTAGATGCCTGTTACTTGTATATGAACCAGCTGTAGTTGTAGTTACTAGGCAATCAGAATATCGGCTCAGAATACCCTCATATGTCTGTAACAGTCTCATACTAAGAATCCCCTCATCCGCCTTCGCGTGCGCTCGCCCACTCCTGGCCCTGACCCCTTGGCCTGACACTCGACTGGTTCTTCGGTCCCGATCAGTATCTCGCCAAAAGGAACTCTTTATGATCAGTCTTTGCCCGTCCAAAATTTAAGGACACCCTACAGATATTTGTGAGGGTGCAGCACATAAGCTGAAGCCAAGTCCTTCCGATCGGTCCCTGTCAGCCACTGACATTAGTCAGTTTTCAGTTCTTAACAGCATGCTCAGGTATTTGCTGGCATAGTCCTGAGAAATGGCTGTAATTCCCTCATTCTCAAATTGGTGAGAATAGAAGAACTCCCATCTCTGGTCAATGGGCTCAGCATAGAGAATGTGTCCCCAGTATGTTTGTTGAAATATAGCTTGTCGAGGTGGGAAAACTAGAGCAGGTTCCTTGTGAAGCATGTGAATTGAATAGATTCTGAAGCCACTCAACTGTTTGGAGTTTGAGTCTTCTCCCAGTTGCTCCACTTGGCAATTGTCCATCATATCAGCTTTGATTTGAGGAGTGTCTCAACTAATACTTCATTCTTGAGTTGCCAGGGAAAGTTTCCTCATAATAACATTTCTGGGAAGTCTGATATTGCTAGGTCTTCTTCTTGGGTTCATGGTTCCAGATGATAAAGGCTGTAGTCATAGTAAATTCCCAGATTCAATTCTAGTGTAGGGAAGTCTTCTGATTCACAGGGAAGAAGTGATCTGTCCTGAAGTATTTTGTCTTAATTACCCCCCATTCCTGAGATACGACATGATTTGTCTGTCAGTCCAGAGCAGGATTTTTCTGGATTTTGAACTTAGCCATAGATACCATGGAATGGCCATAACTTTGAACTCCACCTTAGGTACTCGTAACAGCTGTGCATCCAGACTGTGACACACCTCATTCAGTTAGACACTGAAATTTTGAGAAAGTAGCAAGATAACTGTGTACCTATGTACCACTATTATGAATTGTCTGCATTATTTGGTCTTAATTTGTCTTCTGGTGAAATGTGGTCCATCTATAACAGAGTTGTCACTTTTGAGCATCTCACACTAGGGCTGTGTTAGATTGTGTAATGCTAGCACTGTTACCCAAGGGCTAGATGGTGTAGCAGGTAACACCCTTGCTATATATGCAAAAGCCCTGGCTTCAATTCCCACTCTGGCTATTCACTTTCTATACTCTTAACAGGCTGCTCAATTCTTAATCCCTTACTCACTCACTATTCGTTTGATGTCCAGCGTGGAAGAGCCATTAGTGTCTCAAACCAGACATGGACCTTGGTTCGGTTCAGTTCTCTTTCCTCACGGAAGAATCCCAGCGTTTGAGCGCATGTTGAATCCCAGTTGAAACCTCACCAGTCGCCGAGACCGTCTCCCGGAATATGGGCACTGGCTGAAGGATATTGCACAATTTTTCAAATGTCTCCAACTGTCGGAGTATGGGATTTTTAATTTTTATTGTTTGAAAATGCCCAGAGAATCCTTCTGTAATATAAAATGTCTCGCTTATTTGAAAACAATGAACGTTCTCGGGAAGATTTTATAGTATCAATTAATTTAAATAAGAACAAATCTCGGGAATTTCGGCGGAATGGTCTTCTACATTCATCAGTAAAATAATTTTAGGCGATGGTCCGGATCCTGGATCAAATACCAATTTAATCATGTGTTTCAACAATCCATAAGTGCCACTCTTTGTTTTCTTATATATAATGTCTTTAATATCTACCAAAAACCTTCATCGAACAGTCATGGTCACATTCCGCTTTACCGTCAGCTGCATTCTCCTCCTTCCATTCGCTTGCCTTGTTTTTTCCCTACCCAGTACAGACTCTGACCATCTCAGTTCACGGGCAGCGTTTTGCGTCGGGAAAGTCATATGCGGCAAGGTATGTATTGCTAAGAATGCCCAATGTTGCAAAAGTGAGGATGCTTTTCTGTATGAATATTTTAACGATCTAACTCCTGGAGATAGATAAAACCTCTTGTCCTAAGGGGTATGATTACCTTGGCCTTTTATTGCGTAATTTCTGATTTTCATTTTAGCACGTATTGTATAAATGATCGCGGGAGCGGGGAACACTGCTGCAAGAATGGTTTCGTTTGCACGTGAACCCGCGGACGGAAGGGCCATGTTTAGTGGAAATGTGAATGTGAGTTAACCCGGTGATTAATTATATTATTTGAATAGGTTTAATAGGCTCAAAGGTCTTCCATTTTTTGTTCTTTGTTTCTCGAGTTTCTGCCCAATTGTGTTCAACCACAGTCGCCTTCAAACTGGGCACTATTTACTTCATTTACCACACTATACTGCCGCTTTCAATAAATCTAAGTACTCTCAATTTATTCCGTGAATAAATGCGACGTCTGAGAAAAACAAACACAATAAAAGATAACAAGAACATATATTTCTGTTTTCTTCTCTCGAGGCAGAGTAACAGCGCTGTACGGCCGTTGTAGTATAGACATATACACAGACAGTGCGTCCAACCAGCTCGTAAAGGATACCGAGTTCTGGGTTTAGATCAATGTTCCTGGGCCGCGCACCCCAACCGGTCATACAGTAAATTTGCAGTAATACACTGAGGTGTTTATCACGGCAGCATTCGGCGAAAAATAACCCTCACCAGGATCTTGGACAGCTGCAACCACTGACGCCCACTGACCATCGGCGAATATTCCTGCTCATCAGTGTCATAACACCGGCTTCAATGAAATTCCAGTGAACTGTCGAAAATATACAGTAGGCGCGTACGGCTGAAGGGCATTACATCTGATTACTAAACTACCACAGCTGTATTCTATTAGAACTATAACAGAATATAACTCAGTTGTCATGGGATAGTGAAATCAACTAAGGTGTTATCACTGGTTATAACTACTTCATGAACAAAACAATAGTGGAAAAAAAGAAAAGAAATAGGACAAAAGAGAGAACCCCACTATCTACACATCCAAATGAGGTTACACATTTACGTCATTGATCTCATCTATTGTCCTTCTCCTTTGGGTTGTGCCATGAGCTTGCGTAAGCCCTAATTATAACACTCCTCATGGCTAAGCAGGCTCCTGCTCGTCACATAACCTAAACTGGATGCACTGTCTCTTGTGTGCAATTTGTGGGAGTTGATTCATGAACATATTGGCAAGATTTGCCATGGAGGTGATATGATGCATGTCAATATGTCCATCCACTACATCCTCACAAATATAATGATAGCAAATATCTGTAAGTGGTGCTTAGTATTCTTCATTGAAAAGACTGCACCTGCATTATCATTCCATAGCATAGCTGGTTTGGGGTGGGGGTAACCTATTTTGTCCATTGCCGATTGCATCCAAAGAATTTGCTTCATAGCTTGTATTAATGCCATATACTCCACTTAGGTTGTGGAGAGGGTGAGCATAGGTTGATATTGCATTCCCCAGGCCATTGGTCCTCCCACTTGGATGAATACATGTCCTGAGAATGACTGCTGGTTATCTATATCTCCACCATAGTCCGCATCAACATATCCTGTTGGATTGAAGTCCCTGTATTTCCCTCCATAAGTGATTTTGTAATGTAGTGTACCCTTGATATATCTTAATATGTGAGTTGAGGCATTCCAGTGTTCTTTTCCTGGGTTTGATGTGTACTTCAACAGAGTGGACACTGCATGGGACAAGTCAGGCCACATGGTTATCTGGGTGCACATAATGGACCCAAGCAACTCACAGTAGGGTTTGTTTGTGGTCCAGGTGCCATTTCATGTGTAAGTATGATTCCTGTTGGCAGCAGTGTCTCTCCAGATTACAGTCAGATGTGTTGAATTTATCCAAAACTGTAAGCACATTAAGTTGTTCCAGTGCCTCGGTCTCTGTTGATTCAGATTCCCAGTACTAAGTTTGGGTCACACAAGTCCTTCATTTCATATTTCCATCCCAATTGTTCCTTAGTGCCTCTCACCTCTTCCTTTGAGGATGAGATCCTGGTCATATCATCTGTGTATGTGCTAGTTATTGTAATATTACCATTTGCATGTCTTGATCTGACTGCTGGGTCTGCCCTTGACCTGTAGTATCCTAGTTCCCCCATCTCCTCATTCAGGGCTTCCACCCAATTATATACTCCTTCCATAGTGCCATATAGGGTTTTATTGAGCTGTCCTATCCTTCCTTCAACTTTGCCCCACCTGGCAACTCAATCTAGGTGATCACCTGTGGATGTGAGTTTAGGTATGCTGTGACATAGTCAATTTGCCATGCCTCCATATCTATCACTGTGCTACTACCCAGTTCATTTGGAGAAATTCATCTCAGCCAACAGAGGCATACATCTCAAAGAAATCCATGCCTGGGGTTTGTGTAAACCTCTTGCAACTAGGTGTGCTTTTTGTGCAATTAGATCATCATTTGCATTGACCTTGTTTGGAAAGGTCCACATGTTTGGATTAGCCACACATCATTGGATGGATTGATAACATCCCATACACTTCATGCAAACTATCACATAGTGTAACTTGATATCCATAGGATTCCTCAATAAGGCCAGTGTGAATGATAGACTGCAAACAGCACAATACTCTGTAAGGGAATTGAGTATTACTTTTATATATTTTTTCTACATTTTATATTCTTTTTCCTTCACTTTAAATACAAGATATATCTTGTATTTAGTAGTGCAAAGGTCCATGTATGGAGGATATCTGAAAACTATTAAGTATACCAAATTCTAATATACTCTAAAGGTGTTACGACTGGAAGTCCCACCAGACTCTGGGCACGAACTTATACGCACCCATTATCAGTTCACTGGAATTCTCACCGGACTCCGTACATCAGACTTGTCTACGTTCATCTTCGTTACATTGTGTTTCAGTCACCGGAAAACCCACCAGACTCCATCTATGTCTATGTCCGACCTCGTCCCGCATGTCAGTTGCCGGACCCGGGACCCCGCTCAGTAAACCTGTCTTCCCTCTAACAGAGCCCCATTCCCATTTTAGTCAAATGACCTGTCATGATTCGGACTCCGCCTCCACTCCATTTCCCATTATGGTTTATTATTTGTCACTATTTGGACTCCATTCTGTCCTGTTCCTAACACCAATTTGGTGTTTACTATTCCTGTTTTATGTTTTGCTCGTTTCATTTCATTATTACTGGATTCAGTATGACATTCACTCCACGGTCTATTTAAACTGGCAGATGTTGTACATACAATCCAGTCAGAAAATTGGCTTAGATTTCCCCCAGTAATCTAATACATTTTCCACTCTAAACTCCTACTTGAATTACACCACTCACACTAGTCGGAGCCCATGGGCTCTGGTGCATCTATCTCTCTTACCTATCTCAACTCACGACCCACGACCTCTGACCTACAACCCCACAACCCATGACCCCCACCCAGACTCCCCGGGATTCTTGTCCACCTGTCCGAAATTGGACAACACGATCTAGTGAGGGCACAGCCTATAAGCTGAAGCCAAGTCCTACTGGATATTCTGTGGGTTTCTCCGGAGACCTACCGTGTATGTACCCTAACAGTATTTTCTGACTAAGACTCGCAGATTGTTTTTATGAACATTATGCCACCAAGAAGAAAAACGAACACAAAGGCATCATTACCTGGACCGTGGACTCTTCATTCCCTGTTAACCTTGTATACCAGTCAGATGCTTGCAAACCAGTCAGAAGCCATGGAAGAAGCCCATATCGAAGAAGTCCCAGAAAACCAGGATGAATCCAAGCACAAGGATGAGTCCGTGGCCCCCGACAAGGGCAAAGGTGTTGAAAATCCTCCGTCATTCGAACGACCGCACTTGGGGGACCCTACTTCTGAGTTTTTAGCAGGCACTATAGATAAATTTATGACACACCTGCTCGAAGAATGAAAGAAAAAGGAACAAGAACCTCCACAGTCGAAAGTCAATGCTCTGGAACCCTTTATGGGTTCCAATCCAAACAAACTCTCTACTTTCCTCATGCAATGTCGCTTCAATTTCTGCGATTGATCCACCACATTCTCCACAGACTCCCAAAAAGTCAACTACACACTTTCATATTTGTTGGGATCTGCATTGAAATGGTTTGAACTGGCTTTTAGCGGGATTTCTGAGGAAGAGCCACTTTGGCTCGGAGATTGGGATGCTTTTGTTGAGGAGCTTGAAACCAACTTTGG